AAAGGGGAAAGGTTGCCTACCCCTGGACTAACAGATTTACTTCAACATGAGCTTTTGTGGATTACAATAATAGAAACAGAGTTAAGGACCATCCAGTCCTATCCCTGCTGTGCTGAAATACACAATCAAAGCATTTCCAAAAGATAGCAATCCAGCCTATTTAAAAACCTCTAAAGGAGACAATTCCACCACACTCTGATGCAGCATATTCCACTGTCAAACAGCTCTTACTGTCACGATGTGATCCTTAATACAACATCCCTTCAGATATTGAAACATGGCTATCATGTCGCCTCTTAACCTTTTCTTCCCCAGGCTAAACATACTCAGATCCCTAAGTTACTCCTCATAAGGAACAGTTTCCAGACCTTTCCCCAATATGGTCACCCTCCTCTGGATTTGTTCCAACTGATCAATATCCCTCTTGAACTATGGTACCTAGAACTGGACACAGTATTCCAGATAAAATCTAAACAAAGCAGAATACAGTGGTACTATTACTTACCTCAATCTAGACATTACACTCCTATTGATGCAAGCCTAGGATCATACTGGCTTTTTTAGCTGCTGCACCACACTGCTGATTCATGTTTAGCTTGTTGTCTACTATGACTCCTAGATCCCTTTCACATGTACTGTTGTCAAGCCAGGTGTCACTCATCCTATATCTGTGCATTTCATTTCATTTTTCCTGCTATGTGTAGTACCTTGCATTTCTCCCTGTTGAAATTAGTTTTGCTTTGACCCAGCTTTCTAATCTATTAAGGTAATTTTGAATTTTGATCCTGTCCTCTGAAGTATTAGTTACCCCTCCTGATTTGGTGTCATCTGCAAATTTGATAACCATGCCTCCCATTCCATCATCCAACTCATTGATAACATCAATGATGCTGAATATCAATGAATTCAGGACAGAACCTTGTAGCACTCCACTAGTCACTTGTCTCTAGGATAAAGAGGAGCCCTTGGGGTTTAGTCAGTCAACTACAAAACCACCTGAGAGTTGTATTGCCAGACTCGCATTTTATTAGCTGTTTTGCAAGGATATCATGGAGGATCTTATCAAAGGCCTTACTCGTGCATTCTATTGATGCATCTGAGGAAGTGAAATGTAATCCATAAAAGCTGATCTTTTCAGTCTTAAAGGTGCTGCAGTACTTTTCTCTTCTTCCTTTTATATTAAAAAGTAAGTTTCCAAGAAAATAGCAGAAATTCACTCCTGGTCAGAGGTTTTTGAACAAGTTAAGAACTGTCAGTTATCTGAAAAGAGGGAATAAGCTACATCTTTGTCAATCACAACACAGCGTTGGCCAAAATTAAAGTTACACAATAGAACAAAAATATTTATCACATGAGTTGGTCATATATTCAGTACTCCAAACAGCTGATATCGCCTGTTACAGTGCTTGAAACTAGATGTGAACCTTCAAACGAAGTGGTATCTCAATCCTGCCCCAGACTAGGCTTTCCCACAGCTGTGTGTGGGAAAAAGATACTGGAAACTAGATGAGATGGCAACAACCCCATCTTGTTAAATTTAAGTGTACTTCAGTCAAGTATGGAGGCACACAGGTCTCATATTTAAAAGGGAAATATGGGTGAAGATGCTGGACACCCACAGTTTCCATAATTTATCTCCCTGCAGTTACCCTCAACAACTGAGCTCATTTCTGGTACGAAGGGATGATCTTACGGAACTGATTTGGGGGGTGCAGGAGTTAAGCCTCTTCTCATTCATGTGCCTCATCTTCAAATCAGATCTTCTATCCCCTCATGACTAAATCACTTTAAAAATGTTGCTCTCAAACTTAAGCAAGTCTGTTTTTAAAGAATAATAATGACCAAAATGATTTGGATTTACCCCCAAGAAACTTCCAATATTCCATTTTACATAATATTTAGTTTTATTTTTTTTTAAAAAAAAAAAGGAGTCAAAGAATGTTGTGGTAAGAATATTTATATCTTTCCTTTTTTTTAAACACTTTTTTATTAACACTTACAAAAACATTCAAACACTGAGGAAAAATTAAATAACTTTGGAAGCAGAATTCCTTTCTTTTCTGCCTACATACATACAAACAATTCTGAGCTGTTGGCACAAAAAATAATCCACATTCATAAAACCCTTACAACTATTATCAAACATAAATTAAGTAAATCATAGGCACTAGTTTATAAAATTCATTTCCATACTTTTCCCAATATATCCAAACCTCTAAACACAGAAAAGTCCTAGGATGTCCTTGTAATCAAATGGTAATGCACAGAGTCTCCCCTAGTAAACTGGCAGTTTTTCTTCTTTGACAAATTTATATTTGCTAGATGTTTATTATGATGTAGCAGCCGGATGTTTCCATAACATAATACATCTTCAAAATGATTAAACAGCTGAGTTTTATAAAAACAGTAGTTTATAAAATATGGTAATGCAACTTGGTTAAAAAGACATCATCTGTGATTTCTGAATGAAAGAAAACCAGTGAAGTATTTCCCCAATAAAAGCACAAATCAGAATAACTTTACTTCTGAAGACTGCAATATCAACTTTGTTAGAGCTCAGTTTTGAAAGTGAAGGAAGCAGATTCATCTCAAAACATTTTGGAAACCTCATGGTTGTGCTCTACAAAACACAGCTGTTAATCCTGACCTCTGTTTTCCTATAGGTTAATTAATTTTGGAAGACACACCAGATAATTTTTGACCTAACTGGGTATGAAGACCAGGGAAATATAAGTAATATTGTATACAGTCAGAAGGGGCACTGCTTCCCATACTTTGCTAGTGTTTCACGCAGCAAAAACCAGTCCATTATGAAGCAGAAGTGTATTTATATCTATTTTTAAAATCTAGTTAAGCTGAGAATTAGAAAGAGACATAGCATCTGCGTGTCTGTCTTGGCATTTAACCTATGCACGAGAAATCCTGTGTTGTGTCATTATAAACTTGAATCCTAAAGTTTATCATAGTAGGATTAAACATGGTAATAGGAAAGGCCCTGTTTTAATCAGTAAAAGTTACCCATAGGTGGTGACATTTCTGCAATCGATACTGGTCCTATCGCGTCTTGTTCACTTTTCCAATTCAAGTATAAATTGCATGGCTTTTAATCCACTAATCTATGAAGACTAGCTAAGAATGTGAGGAGTGAAATTCCAAAATCAGTTACACTTTGTTGAAAGGCTCCAAAGCAATTTTAAGAGGCAGGCACAAATGAAGTTAAAAGGCAACCTACCCTGTACTCCAACAGAGCCTGATGGATTCTTCAGTCATATCCTGGCTAGCTTCTTGTTTCATTCAGTAATTTGCAAGTGCTACATACTGACAGCCAAATGTCATAATGAGAGACTGTCCAATCATCCCATATAACAAAAGGCATATCTTTTGTGACTGATGGGCCTCCCTTTCTGTTACTTTCACATAACATATTTTCAGTCTTCCAAAACAATTTTAAAAAGTGGAAGGGGGAAGGAGTTTAGGGTTTTAATAGTAGCAGTTTTTCTACTGGGTAGGGTATCCTGCCAACAACAGGAAAGGCAAAAACATTATTAAGTATTGGTTAGTATACAGCCACTAGAGGAACTAAATACCTTGTAAACATATGTGGCAGGTTTTTTTAAAAAAAGAAAACTTTTACCAACAATGTAAAAATACAGGTGTAAGGCAAAGTACATCGTTAAAACATTAACATGGGCAATAACTTCAGCGGAAGTATTTACAATTTAAAAAAAATCTATGAAATCAATTAGGCTTGTTTTGTGTTTTTTGAAAAAAGGATGAAGACTCCGTCATACCATGAAACAATTACCCACATGAATATATCATTTGGTATCAACAGTACAACTCATCTCCTTAGAATCTCTAGGTTACAAGTGCATAGTTGTTTTCATGTTATCTAGAAGCATGTTCACTTAAGTTCCAGGCTATAAGCACTGTGGTGTAATTTCTTAATGGATACTACTTCCTTTTTTCCCCAAGGAAACTAGCTCTAAAAAAAGGACTTCTCAAAAATGTGTATTGTGTTAAAAATGTGGCTGCGATAGCAAAGGCCATCTCTTCCTGAGCCAGGAACTGCTGGGTTTAGAAAGATTGTACAACTGATACTAAGCCCTTTTGGCAATCAAAACAACATAACATAAAATCTGATATGTCAAGTCAACATAAAAGGATGAAGCTAATCCCATTCAAATATGGGAAGCCTACTAAATCCAGACTGTTTTTTAAAAAAAAAAAACAATGATGTGGCTTTCCTACCACTTTTAGTGAGACCCCAGAAACAACTGTTCCATTTTATCTCAACAATTTCTCAGTTCAAATCTTCCACAATTGTTTTAAACAATCTCAAAAGTACATTAGTACTCTGCAATCCAATTTTTGCTTTGATTGATAAGTTAAATCTTTATATATTAGATTTCCAAATTATTCATTTTTCTTTAAATCAAGTAATGTGTGATGTTTTAGAAAAACTGCTTACTATTTTACATGCTGCTTTTTCAAAATGGATATTTCTTTGGCATTTTAGGTATTCGCTCAGATGTTGGTTATTGTAATCATGTGATCATTTATAATAATTTTATAACAATTTAGGAAGGGGGGGGGAAGCTCCAGAGGTGAAAAGTGATTCATGTAAAAGTGATTTGTGTGATCACCAAGTATCTGATGTTAATGTCATTAAAGTGCTGTTTTATAATCTCTGCCAGCTTGTGCTAATTAAGGACAGAGAGATCTGGGGATTTATAAACCCCCCATAGTCTTATCTGATCAGTCTGCATATTGATCTGTCGTTTAGCCTGGTGAAGGAGTACCTGCTGAGTAATGCAGCTTTGTAGCTTAGTAGCAGCCGTCCTTCCAACTCTCATCTTTCACGTTGTTATAGGTTTTAGGAGCTGGCAATGTTCTGAAATAAAATGTAGTCACATGAAAGTCTTCGCCCACAACAGAATATGAATGTATAAGTGTTCCTTTAAAATCACATTTCATTGTAGCACCTGCTACTATTCTGAAGAGAGATGGCATAGTGGTTTGAGTGCTGGACTATTATTCTGGAAGCCAGGGTTCAAATCCCAGCTGAGCCATGAAACCGACTGGGTAACGTTGAGCAAGTCCAGAGGATTGCAATAGCAACCCCTCTCTGAAGAAACCTGCCAAAAACACCCTGTGATAGGATCGCCTTTGGGGTCACTAAGTCAGAAACAACTTGAAGGGACCCAGCGACAACAACTATTCTGGAAAGGTATTCCAAACAGAAAGATAAATTTTAACAATTCCATTTTGGTTACACCCAGATTTAGCCAAGTTACAAAGACCACTGAAATCAATGGGAATTCAATAATTTCTAATTTAAGCCCCATTGATTGAAATGGTTTTACTTTCAGCAGGATTAAAACTGGATCCAGGTGTTTAAGTGATTAATAAAAACATTAACATCTATCCAATGTTAATATTTCAGGTACATCTGATGAAAACAGAATGCTGAATTAGAGTGGCCTTGATCTGAAACAGAAGACAGTCTCTATCTGAATTATGTGGCCTTCTGGACTCTCCCCTCCCCTCCCCCATCCATTCAGGCAGCTCCTTCCTGAAAGGCTTGCTTCCACTCTTCTCTTAGCCTACTATTAAAATCAATTCTAACAATGTAATGCATTTTCCCACAAAAGACACATGCTACTGGCTCATCTGTGCTATGCAAGCAAAATGCACAAGAACTGCATAAAGCATGGGCCTTGCTGCTAGTGAACTGTGCTTAATTAAACTAATGAAATTTATGTAAAAGCTTTGTTGTACACCTTCAATCTATTAAGAATTAATCCTGATAATCCAGCACTATTCACTCAGAAGTCACTTGTATTCAAAAAGACAGAAAATACCAACCTTAATTCTACCTTTTCCCCATGATCTATCAATCATGCTGACTTTCAGATAGTCAAGTAGGCAGGTGGGTTAGAGATTTAATAACATATAGCCAATATTGTGCCAAGAAGCAGTTTGTGCCCAAACAGGCAGAAGCATTTTAAAAAGATAATCAGGCAGAATATCTCTGAGTTATTTCTTACTTTGATGATCCCATTAATAGCGTCACTAAGAGACACTATAATGTCACATCTGCAAAAAAGTTACACCCACAGTTTTCCTATGGTCTGGAAAAAAGGATGTGTTATTTTAACAGAAGATCAATGGAGATCAAGTAACATTAAATACTGACTATGGCCTAGAGGGACAAGGCATTTGACATTATTCAGCATGCCAAGTCAACATTCAGCACTTCCCTCTATAAATCCTCCAACTAGCCTTTGCATGAAAGTTGTATTTTGCTGTTGTGTGCCTTCAAGCCATTTCCGATTTATGGCAACCCTAAGATGGGAGTTTCTTGGCAAGCTTTGCTCAGACAGGGTTTGCTGTTGCCTTTGAGCATTACAACCAATGTTACCCTATGGTCAGCCATTATCTATAGTAAACTGCTATAGACTTTTTACTAAACACATACACACAGTCAAATTTAAATATCTCTGAGGTGACATGGTGACAAAACATTTTCCTTGGCAATTGTCAACAGATAAACCACTTGCTCTGGTAAGGCAGCCACCCAGGAAAGCTATTTGTGCACTTCTGCTCCAAATCTCATTCTGTATGCTTCTATCCTGAAAAAATCCAGGGCATCAGTATGCTCCAGCCCAAGCCAACAGGCTAATCAGACTACTACTTGTATAAAGGGAAAAACTCTTTATATCATTTATATTTTACATCTGACCAAAATATGTCACACATGGTGTAAAAGGCATTATCACACATCAGGTGTAAAAGGTATTAATTGGTGATAGTCGTGTTATTTAATAGTACTGAATTGCTAAAAGAGTACCGTATTTTCCGGCACATAAAACAATTGGGCGCATAAGACAACCCCCAACTCTTCCAGTTAAGATGTAGAGTTTGGGATATACTCGCCTCTTCCAATGCACACCAAATAGAAATTTAAAAACACATCAGATTTGATTTCAATATGGTAATTTTAATTCAAATGCTTATGACATGCAAGTACTTAGCAGGAAAACTATCACTTATAAACACAGCAAACTACAGCTCCCATGTTCCCTAGCATTTATTTCTGCAGTGTGTTTTGGACCTTATTATTTCTGCAGTATGTTTAAGACCTTACTTTTTAAAAAATGGTCCAGATTTAAACGCTGCTTTAAAAATTATTTCCATCTCCCAGCTATGAGATGGTTGGGGAGAAATGAGAAAGTGTTGTGGGGAAGGACTGTCAATATACTAGGTGATACATTCTGGGGTATGACCAATGTGCAGCCAAGTAAGTGACCCTGGGCATGTCACACACTCTCAGCCTCAGAGGAGGGTAATGGCCTTTGAAGAAACATGCCAAGAAAACCCCATGATAAGGTTGCCTGAGGGTCAGCATAAGTCAGAAAGGACTTGAAGACACACAAGAACAACAAAAAATTCTGCAATTGGTTCATAGGTAGTACATAGGAATAGGAGCCAGCATGGTGTAGTGGTTTGATTGTTGGACTACCACTCTGGAGACCTGGCTTTGATTCCCCACTCTGCCATGAAACCCACTGAGTGAACCTGGACAAGTCACACTCTCTCAGCCTCATGGGAAGGCAATGGAAAACCTCCTCTGAACAAACCTTGCCAAGGAAACCCCAGGATAGGTTCA